AAAGCTTCACATCAACGTCGTCGTACAAACAAATTTTTATTTTCGGATTTTTCAATTACGTTTTCATTTATTTTTTAAAGTATTAATTTTGCGTGCACTAAAAAACAAAAACAACAAAAATACAAGCAAACCAAAAACAACAAAATCATTCAAAAATTTATCATACGTGTATATTGTACATAAGCATACGAACTCTATCCTCGAATCAAAGCAACTACAGCAAAAGTCAAAACACTTTTCAGAAAAAAAAAAAAAATTGAAAACGCATAAACAAAAAGAAAACGAACAACAAAATTGTATCAAACATTTTGCCGTTTTTTGGGAAAAGCGAATACAGAAACGAAAAGTCGGAAACATTTTTATGTGCAATTTCGATCAAGAAAATAAACACTCTAAAACTCGATTTCGACAACAAGCTACCAGAAGAAACTCTCAACTGTTTCCAAGTATATTTCATTTTGAATCTTGCATTTACGTTAAAAACTCTTAAAAAGAAATCATAAAAATTTTAGTTTGTAATAAAAAAAGTAAATAAAAAACAAAAAGCAGAAAACAAAATACTACAAAATACCAAATTCAAATGTAAAATCAAAAGTACAAAGCACAAAAGATTGTTGGCAACATTTTTATAAGTATATACGTATTATTATTATTTGTATATATGTATTTTTTATACGACAACATCGCGAACAACTAAAAACACAAACAACACGAAAAGCAACAACATTTTCTACACCAACAAAAAAAACACACGTGATGCTCTGAGACTCGACGAATTGGTAAGCAAAATGTGTGCGAAATCTCTGTGTTAAATGTAAAGGAAATTAGGAGAAATCAGACAGAACAACAACAAACGGTTTGCAATATCAGCAAGATGCTCACGTTTGTTGCTGCCGCTGACTTCTCCTTTCAGCTTCAGACAACTTCATTTCTAACACCTCCTAACATCCTCTCTCTTCGCTCTCGCCGTCAGCACACGAAGACTGCAGTGCCTTCGTGCTTCGGGCAGCATAATTTTCGGCTGCTTCGTGCGGCGCTGCTTTCTAATTGCGTTCGCTCTCTCTCTCTCTCTCTCTTGAGCTGCCGCCTGCATTTGGCTTTATATGTGCGTATGTGTGTGTTTGTATGTGTGTGTGAGTGCATTACATTAGCCTGCAACAGCAGCAGCAGCAACACATCGGCATCCTTCGGGCTTCGGCTTGGGCAAGTATGCTTGTGTGCGTCAGTGTGTGTGTGTGGGTGTGCTTCTCTCTGTAGCAGGCCTGCTGTTTGCTGGCTGCCTGCTTCTTCTAGTTCATCTTAAGCTACACGCGCGTACGGTTCGCCTCGCCGTTCGTGCTCGTCGGTTCAGTCGTCGCCTCATTCGTGAGGACGCTTCGTTATCGGCTCTTGCCTTGCTGTGTTTCTTCGTCTAGGTATGTGTGTGTGTGTGTGTGTGCGTTTGTGTGTGCGAGCAAGCGCACACTTACTTGCACTTACTGTCGCCTGCGTATAGGAAATTATCTGCTGCTGCTGCTTCGCCGCTGCTGCTGCTGCTGCTGCGACGTCGCCTAATACATATATAAATAATATATATTATTATATAGATATATTTAAATGCGCTCTTCGTTCCTCTCCGGGTATATAGAAAAAACAAGCAAGCATCAGACAGGCGTCGTTAGGTTGGAGCAAGCAAGCCAGCAAGCAAGCAACGACTACGATGACGACGACGACGAGGACGTGGCTGCCTGCTTACAAGAAAGTGTTGCATACTTATGTGGGCATTGCGTTGACGTCGCAGCAGCAGCAGCAGCAGCAGCGCCTTGGTCTTTGGGTTTTCGGCATTTGGCCAAACCAAGCATTTTACTTTTATATTCTAGAATACAAAATTCAGTACGTTTCTAGTCACGCGCGCTGGCAGAAGTTTTGCTTGGCGTTTCTGTCTTCTGACCCGACGACGTTGACGCACGCCGCCTCGACTTGTGTAAAAATGCATTCAATTATTTAAATCAAACTTATAAATTTAACTGGAAATAAATTCAAATATTAAAAAAAACGCCACTAACGGAATATCCATGGAAGCATATACAGTGCAATAAGCAACTGCTAAATCAACTAATAAATCTATAAAAACTACCACCTTAAATAATAAATAATTAAAATATTTCAAAATATTTGTCAAAAAAATAATATCTTAAACAAAAATATAAAAAACTAATATCTCAAATATTTCGCTGCTGCTTGTGGTACGTGAGAGTCGCAGTTGATGTTTAAATTCAAAGTTTAAATCGAGATGAGTTTATTTGTTGCTTACTTCAAAGCGGACGTCAGTTAGGCGCTCGATTAGCCAACCAACGCGGCAACCACACACACACCAAAAAAAACATAAACACTCACACACACACATTCAGTAGCGGCTGTTGCTGGCATTGGTGGTAGCCAACATTGCGCATACGACAAGTTGTCACTCAGTTTCGCTTGCTTCGTATTGGCAGCGACTGCTTCATGGCCTTGTTGGGGCAAAAACTCGGCCGGAAATTATCTAAAACTCTTAAGGCAAGCCGCCACACAGGCAAACTCAAAGTGGAGCGCCTGTGATTCGCCGCAGCACTGCTCAACTTTGTCAGCAACTGAATTTCATACACACAAATACTTTTATATTGAAATACGGACACAGAAATTTCTAATTTATATAAATACTCTCATACACGTACACTGCCAGCCACAATGTGGGTTTCACGAGTCGAATATAAAAGCACTTGGCCTTCGTTTCTTGTGAGACATTCGATCGTCTTGGCTCGCAGCGTCAGCGTCGTGGCCTCGCAGGCCGGAGCAACAGCAGAACATACTCAGGAGCAGAGGCAGCAGCAGTAGCCAGTTAGGAAAGGCAGCTGGTCCTTTGGTCAGTCAGGTAGTCAGTTGTAGTTCGGCTAACGCAGCATCCAGTTCGTGGGTACGTGTTGGGACTTTATCAAAGGACTCTGTTCTGCGAGACGTATTTCCATTAAAACATATTTAGTTTTAGCTCCATTATATTGATTACAAGATGCAAACAGTTTTATTATTTAAAGCTTACAATTAAGTAAATAAATTGTGCAAAATACAAACACTGAAGAAGTGCCAAGATACAAAATTTTGAAATATGAATATTTAATGAATAATAATAATACGAGCAATGTGTGTAAACAATAGCGAAAACTTCAAGAGATTGAGTTAACTAAATCGCTTAAAAAAAAAATAATATTGAAATACGTGATTTAATATGTTAAATAAATTCCAACACATAAATTACACAAACTTCTTACAGAACATAAGTTTTCTTATATGCTTCCATTTAGATACTATAAATATTATTTTGATTACCAAATATAATTCAAACATTAGGCATTATGTTCAATTGTGTTGAATTGTCTTCACAATTGGAACATTAAAAAGTTTTTACATATTTAAAATAATTTAAAATGTTTCTAAGCATATTCATGATATATTTATGCATACTTATTTAAATTCTCTCAAACATTCTTTAGAAATTCCCTATTTGGAAGCATAAAATTAGAAAGAATGATTAAAAATAAAATTAACAACTAATTTACATTAATAAAAAACTCGAAAAGCGCTGCGGCAACGAAACGAAATTTTAAAAAGTTATATTAAATGTGCTATAAAGATTCAACTTAATCAACAAGCAAACATAACTAAAAATAAAAATAAAGTGCAATAGCAAAAACCAAACAAATTTTTTAAAATAATGAAGCGCCATTTAAAATTCCAAAAAAATGTATATTAAAATATAAAGTGTAGCCCAACTTTCGGCAGTGCTTGAAGTGAAACCAACACGCAAAATTTTGAAAATGTAGCATTCAGCGCGGCTGTATGTCAAATGATATTGTTATTATTATTATTATTATGTTGCCACTTGATCCGAAATTTAACAACCAAATAAAAAAGTGTTCAGTGACGCCCGCTTTTGACCCCTCAGTTGCCCGCAGCGCTTCAGTGCATTTGTGTTGACCCTAAAAAAAATTCAATTCAAATTTTTTGTGTTCAAACGAGCCGGCTACAAAATGTGCCAGCGACGACGTCAACATCAAGCCCCTCAACTCCAGGCAAAGGCTTGCCACGAGCTTTTGCCACTGGCACAGCCACTGCCACTGCCACTGGTCAGTGTCCAGTTAATGGCGGCGCCATGGTGGCGTCCAAGCCGGGCCGCTAGGTCCGCCAGTAGCCAACGCTGAGCCGCAACGCAGTTTCCGCTGCACGAATTCGCAAATGGCTATGTAAACTTAAATTAAGGGTAAAATATCGCAAATGGTATTGGTGCAAAATCAAAACAAACAAAAAACTACTAAAAGAAACTAATAATATATGCATACTTGATATAAAACATAAACCCAAGACTTTCAAAGCTTTTGAGCCCCTAAAACGTTGAGCTTTGTTCCCTTTATTATGTAGATTCTTATGTATATCAAAGGCTATCGCACTTCATAATTTAGAAGCTTGCATATAAACTGAACAGAAAAGCAGCAAGATTTTATGTTCTCTTCTTAAATGAAATTATTTATTTATTTTTTATTTTTCTATTGTTTTCATTAATTATTTTAATCTAATTATGGTTTTATTTATTAATTTTACTCAATTTTTAAAAACTTCTTGCAGAATTTTATAAACTAATTACTTTTGTTAAAATTCTTTTATCCTAATCTTAATAAAAAACTATTTTTTAATTTTTTTTCACTTGCAGCTTCAAATAATTCTTCGAGCAAGCAATGCTGACTCGCATATAAATATTAAACCGATCAATTAAAAAAACTATTTAATTAAAGTCTAAAACCAGTCAAAGATGTTGTTTAGGCCAAAGTTTAGATTCAACTGCAGTTAAAATCGATTAGCTCGTTTTCCACACACACACACAAATAACTATAAATATTTTTTTGCAGCCTTAAAATCGCCAACCGAAAGATCAAATTACTAATCACAACATTCTTTTGCGCGCTGTGCAACTGTCTGCTTTTTACTTGCAGGTTACACCATATCGAGAAGTTATCCAATGAGAAAGCCGCTTAAATTTTGGTAAGTACCCGTTAAGCTATCTTTAAGGCAATCCATCCATAGACTGACCAAAGACATAAAGTCTTCTGCAAATGAGACGCTTTTATGTGCCCGAATGGACTTTATTTTTTAATTAGAAAGTCAACACACACACACACACACACACACAGAGAGACACAGATGCGGGCGGGCAGGGAAATTGCGGGGGGCAAACTCACATATATGAGAGACGCCTTTGTGAGCTCTCACTCCTGGCCAGTTTGTTTGGCTTTTGTTTACTCGTATATTTGTGTGCTACTTAAGATGAAATGGCAAGAAAAGTGACGTTTATGCAGCGCACAGGGGATGCAAGAGCGACGGCTCTTAAGGGTAGGGCGGCAGTGAAGAGGTGGGACCTCGTATGCATGGCACAGCACTAGCCTGTGTCCGTTTTAATTTTAGGTGCTCTTAACGCAACGTTGACTGCCAATTCCTTTCATTTCTATCTCCATCTTTCTCTCTCTCTCTCTTTTCCTCCAACTCTTTCGATTGCAATATAGGAAAAATAGACGCTGACTAAGAAGACGAGGCGTTTCAGGTTCGGGGAGGCACCGCCTCTTAAGGCAGACGCAACAGCAACGGAAGCGGATATTGCTGAAGTTGCTTTTGTGTGTGTATGTGTGTGTGTGTAATGATGCGACATGTTGTTATCCTTCTGCTGTCAGCAGGCGCAGTTAGTTGTTGCCGTTATTGCTGCCGCCGTGCAACATTTACAAGCAGTTGCAATTATTTTCAGCTTAAATGACAAAATACAAGGAAACAAGTCTTAAGCATTTCTAGCACACCTAACCAAAGCCAGCCCAGGTACAGGTCTCGTTATTATTCTTGTTGTTGTATTGTTTGTTGTTATTCCTGTTGTTGCTGCTGGCAGTCAGCTCCTCCACGCAAGTTGCCGACGTGTAAATGAGTTTTTTTTTAGTATTCCACACACGAGAATACCCTCCATCTAAGATTAGTAGGGCATATCACAGTACACATAAAGTAAAATAAACAAAAAAGTTCATGCATAATTCTTATAGATAATTTTCTCTTTGTTAATCTATAATATTTGTTAAGAAAATATGGCTAACACTTTTTAGGTAAATATTTTTATTTTGTATTTTCATTAAAATTGTAAAATAAAATCCATTTGTTTCGTGTTGAATCAAGTAAGACCAGCCTTTAAAGTACGTTAACACGTCCTTAAATGGAATGGAATGGAATGGAAAAACGTTTGAATTAACTTTGAATATTCTTAAGCTTTTCTAAGCTTGAATTTTTATCATACTTAGCTCACGAATTTTCAGTAGTTAATTACAAAAATGCTTTGATTTGTCGCGGCGTTTCTTGAAATCTAACATTATTTGTATTTTGTAATATTCCAAATTTAAAGGAATTATATTTTAAATTTTAGCTTAAATATGAATATTATGATGTCCAGCAGTTACAGACATGTCATTAAATGTTATTCATATCTGAGGCTTTTAGTTCAGAACTATAATCATAAATGAAAATATTTCTGACTGGTATCACACAGTCATGCCATCTTATCTATATGGTATTCTGTTTTCTTTATCATGAACTTTGTGTACCCCAGCATTTCTGTTGTTGTGTGTGTTGTGTTGTGCTGTGCTGTGTTTAATTTAAACAGGCCCAACTTTGCCTGGCTGCTTGAGTCACGAGTCCTGCTTCTGTTGCTGCCGCGTGTGTGTGCTCCTCTCCCCTCTCTTTCTGGTGGCCATGTGCATGTTGCTGCTGCTACTTTGCCAGTTTTCTTTTCATATTTGCCATATGTGCAACAGCAGCAACAACAACTTCTCATTTCGCTGCCTGCTCAGCTGCTCTTATGTCGGCCTAAGTAAGTGCACCTAAGGCTACTTATGAAAAATGTAAATTAAAGTTGACTTTTAGGCGCACAATGCCCGAGCCAGCTACAATGACGTCTCTGAAGTCCCTGCTCGGGCGCCTTTGAAAAACTTGCCATGCTGAGCAGTGTACTTTGGTGTTAAGAAAGTTTTGTACATTGAATATTTAGCACAGAGACCCATGAGCTCTGCCCAGTTGCTACTAATCAACCCACCAGCCCGTCTACCTCAGCCTGAAAAATTAGTATGGAAAACTGTTGTTCGCCATGCACTGACAACTCTCAAAGAGTCAGCAGCCAGGACCGGAAATCGTTTTAAGAACGGAAGTGAAATTTCTGGCATTAACTCGTGCTCGTTCGCCAGTTCGGCGGCAGCTGAGCGCAACCATCTAAACACACATCTAACATCGTCCGTCTGGGCAGCGTATAATCTTTTATATTCAACTAAATAATAATAAAAAAAAATAAACAAAAAACTAACAAAAAACCGCGACTGCAACGCAAATTCATTCAATTGCAAAAAGAAAATTACCCTAAAAGCAGAACAGCGACACAGGCCGAGGCTTCTAGTACTCAGCTAACTACAGCAACAAGTCGTTATGATTATCTAGAATTAAATAAAACATACACACATTCACAGACACTCTCACACACTCAAATACACACCCGCACACACATAAAGCTCAAGTCTGCTTCCGACTCGGGCTCTGACCAATGGCCAATGGCAGTCGCTCACTTGAACGTTGGACCAAGTTGCACGCCTCGCTGAGCAGCAGCCGCGACCCCGAATCGAGCCACCGTTCCATTCTGATCCCCATGCATCCACCCCCGACCCCAAGCCCCATTTCGGCCCAATTTTCACTGCTCCCAAACGATCGCGCGCGCTATTCGCTTTGGAAATTAAGTCAGCAAATGACTTGTAGAATATCAACACATGCCCAGCGACTGTTTATCAGTCCGTCCATCCGTGCCGCCGTCCAACTGGTCGCTGCTTGTCCATGTATCTGTGAGATTGTTTTTTATTTTGGTTGTGAGCCGGCGACGTAAATAACAACAACGAGAACCAGCCGAGCAACAAGATAATCAAGTGTAATTTATTTCGTATTTGGTGCGCGCCATGCATGAATACGACGAATACGACTAAGTTTGACCGCGACTATAACTATGACTGTGAATGCGAACAACCATCTAACTATCTAGTATCTAGGAACCATAACGCGCGCTGAGATAAATACAGCTGCAGCTGCACACACACAACACACACAATCTATCATATAAATTTAAAAAAAAAAAGTTCCACTAAAGCTGGGACCTTACATAAAAGCAAGACAGCTTAGTTTAGCACTAATCAACGACATTTAAATACTCTTGACTATTTGGATCCAATTTTGTGAAGTCAAAAAAAGTGAAGTTAATATTTAGCTAAAAATATTTCAAAACGCTGCTGAAAGTTTCTCAAAAATAATTAAAATATAATATCCATAGCCTGTACAGTTTAGTTAATTTCAAACAATTTTCTTGTCTTTGGAAAAAATTGAACAAAAATTCATTTTATTTATCTAGTATTTATATTTAGTATTTGCATAAACTCTTAGGTTTCGCTACCTTTAATTATATAATTTTAAATTTATTGATTTTGTAATCAATACCTATCGAACAACTACTCAAACATTTGTAACCAAAATTAAAACATATTCTTAACTTATTCAATTTAACCAGTATGGTATACGAATTTTTATCGGCTTATATCTGAAAATGGTTTTTTCAAATAGATAAAAATTGTCCACTCTGCGCACAACAAACTTTATAGTGAACCTGTTGTACCTCCTAAAGAGCATTTGAATAACACGCCCAACCCCCTCGATCTCGACCGGATGCACGAGCACTTGGCGTGTCATTAGTCGATTTTAATGCCGATTCTGTGGATCTCCAGGCCTGTCCACTGGCCCTGGTCGCGTTTTAAGTGTCTCATATGGCAAAATCATTGAAGCATCGAATTACACTGCCCAGTTCTGGTACAGTTTGGCTTAAACACGATAGAGACTCATGTATTTGGAATTGTGGAAATGTGTGACAAGGCGGCAGTTTAATGGCTGCGAATACTGCTATCAACAATAGCTAACTGCAAGTCGCCGCATATATATATGTTTCCCACGTGCAGCGGCACCAACAAGTGGCACACCCTCAAGCCCTACTCACACCCTGCCGCAGGCACAACAAGTCGTTAAACCCAACAACTCCATATAGCACGCACCAAGCCCGAAATCGAAACAATAAGGGTGAGCGCGACATAAATAAACACGCTTCACCACGCCGCAGTTGAGATACCCTTGTCGTGATGTGGCTTAATGCTTTCTTTGCGTCCGATGTAGAAATACACTATAGTAGTCCTACTAGAAACAAGTTTGTTGATATATTGGAAGAAAAACAAAGCTCGTACTTGGTTTCGAGATATCTTGAAAACAAAAAGGGTTTTAAAATAGCTAATATTCCGATAAAGATATATGATAAGTAGTCCGATTCTGTAAAGACTTAGCCCTTACATATATAGGAAGCATAGTGGCACTTGTTAATCCCAAGTTTTCTCAATATTTAATAAATAGCACCGTCGTGACTTTTATATATTGGTCTGCTTCTGCCAATTATGCTAAGTTTATGTTGTTAAAAGTAATCGAGCCAGAGGCTGATACTGATAAAGAATATATATACTTTTATTAGTTAGAGCATATCTCCTTCCCTATGACCCATTTAACAACAACATTAAAATACCCACTAAAAGGGTATAAAAAGAAAAGCAACAAAAAGCCGAACAATTAATAATACTCCAGAAAGCAACAACAGCAAAGGTAAAAGCGTCGCCCATGAAGCAAAGTTCCGATGCCGTTGCACGTTGCACGCTGCTCGTTGCACGTTGCTCGTTGGTGGTTGTCGATGCTGCTGAAAAGCCGCAGACAGGCGGCACAGAGCACGGGACAAAGTGACAGCGAAGGTGGTGGCCCAAATGGCTAGCGCAAATCTTTCAAGAGTAGTTCCGCTTTTTTGTTGTGGCCGCAGTCGCAGCACATCCGCTTCAAGTTGTGTGCCTCACGGGCTGCTGCTGCTTGCTGCTCGGTGCCCGCTGCCTGCCACCGCTCCGAGCGGAACTGTCACGAAGAATTTTGTCAGCCGCAGTCCCAACCGTGAGGGAATACGCACTGATTATCTTTGTATAATGATTACAATTAAAAGAGCTTTAGGGGGCAGAAGGCGTGGCGGGCGCAGGGCGTGTAATGTGCGGCACAGGTCAACATCTAGAGGGGGGCCGCACCTGATCACTTTTAACTGTCACCGGAAACATCCGCCATTTTGTCTAAAAAAACTCGAGTTCAATTTAGCTTCTTGTTGCGCATTGGCCAGCAAAAGAGACAGAGATTCAAATTATATTAGATCTCAGTAATTCGTAATGTTGTTGTTTTCGTTGGCGCAGTTGCTGCTTCTACATGTTTCGTTACGCCTAATGAGCAGACCGTGACGGTGAGTGTGTGTGTGTGCGTGTTGTGGGTGTATTTCTTTGCGCTTGCATAAGCAGCGCGCCTCAGCGAATCACTAGCGCAACAATATCAGAGAGAAATCGTCACATGGGAGTAGCCGTCGCAGCGTTGATCGCTAGTCATACCCCCCCCCCCCACCCCCCCCCCTCCTTCTTCACCACTTATCTACCCACACACTCGCGCTCACACCCGCGCCGCTGGCTTTGTCGCTTCTTCTTCGCCTTTGGTCACACAATTGATTTCGCCGCGTTTTGTATTTGCTACTCACCGTCATCGTCGCTTGGCTGCCTCTTTGCTCAATTCGCCTGCCCGTCGTCTCTTTGATTTAGTTCGGTTTCCACACCTTCCCCCTTCCACCCTACCCCCTACGCTTGAACGTCTGTCACTTATCTTTCATTTAATGCATTGGCCGCCGTTCGCAGCGCTGATTAACTTGCAAGTCGGCTCGAGATTTCATTGGCTGTTCAGTTTATGGGGCTGGGCAGGGCCTTCCCGTTGGGCATTTTCTTAACTGTAGGCTTTTGTTTGTGTGTGTATGTCCGAGAGACCTAATCAATAAATCACTTCAAGGTTTTCTTAATTAAAAGTTTTTGACCAACAACCACAGACTCGCTTTTCTAATAAACTTTTCTACATAAAAAAAAGACATGAAAACACAATAGCGAAAAATTGATTAACTGCCAGAAGACCACAAAAAAAAATGTTCGTAAAATCAACTCCAGCTGAGGACGCTCAATTTTAGCAGCAAAGTTTCGAACCCTTTCCAATAAGAAAAACTTTTCAACTTCCAACAAGAAAACGAGGCAGCCCTCCGAGGAATATGTGAAACTATAGCTAGCAAAAACTGTAAAACTGAAAACTGAAAACTATTAAACGCTTAAGTCAGGCGGAAAATGAGACAAATAGTTGTAAACTAAGACACGACAAAAGAAGCATAAATATGCTCAGCCTTAATTAAGGGTAGCTTGCGTAAGGTACAAGGAAAAGTATTAGTAAAAGAAAAACCAAAAAACCAAAAAAAGGGAGCCCATAACGAATTCGACTAATTGGCTGGCGTGAAAAGCACAATGCTAAAAACGAACCAAGGATAGAGAAACTGCTGGGTAAATGCTTTCAAACGACATGAAAAATCAAAAGAAATCAGAACGAAAACTCAACATCGACCCCACTTGACATTAAATGTTAACCGCTTAAGCTGGCCACACTTATTTATGCTTTCTTCTGGCAAATTTCTTGAAATATTTGCCCAGGCCAAACAATGGCAAGCGCCAAGAAAAAAGGTAAGACCGGCAACACACAGACACACACACACATACACACAATGCACACTACAAATTTTTTTCAGTACCAAAAAAGTTGTTCTTGGGGGCTATTGACATAATTTTTGCGGGCGAGCGACCCACAAGTCACACTCAAGGCGTTTGGCCAGGCACTTGAGGTCCTGATTCTAAAGACAAATCCACCCTCAATTAGCTGCTCGAGTATCCTGCCAAAGACGTTGTCCTTTTGTAAGTGTCCTGTAAGCCAGCATGTTCTTTTGTTAATATTTGTTTTCTTTATTTGGGCTGTTTGGGTCTCAGTTTCAGTTTCAGTTTATGGTTTTGGTTTTTGGTTCTGGTTTCATTTACATGCTCGTTATGAGAGTTTTGCCGCAAATTAGCTTTTGTTTTGCTCTAAATACGCAGCTGATTACGCAGTCGCCTTCTTATTGGCACTTCCGCACCAAGTTTACATAGCATATTTATAGGAGGATTTCAGGCAGGCAACTTAACATATATCTAATGGTAGTTTAAGCGCACACAGTGAGAAAAATTCGAGAGATTCGTAGTCGCTTGAGAAGCGCGGAGGGCAGTGCGTCGAGGTTTTGGGAACGAACCCCCGTGAGGACAATTTATAATTTGTTATAAATGGCTCTAATTAACTGTAGAAACACAAATGTCACTTTAAACAAAATAGGTTTTATAAGCTTATTAATTATTATACCCAGCCTAAAATAATTATAAAAAGATTGTCTTTCTAAAATCAAGTCAAGTCCTCAAAGTACGAATGGCCCCGTGTGTACAAGATTCATGTGACTTTTCAATTTACTAAAATAAAAAAAACTTTTCAAGTTTGATACATATAAACTTTAAAAAGGTACATTTTGTATAATAAATTATGTATATAGCTGAAATTAAGTATGTGAAATGATTGATTCAAGCATTTTTAGCCTGATTAATAAGTTCGAACTTTTCGGAAATTATATATGTAGGTATTGCTTGATTCAAGAATTAGCAGGTTGATGAAAAACTTTGAAATCACCTGAAATTTAATACGTATTTAAATTACGCACTAGCTTTCTCTCACCGTGTTCTTGTTATTATAGGGGAGTTGGCGTTGAGGTTTTAGCTGTTTGGACTATCTAATCTGTTATCTGATTGCCTGCACCGTTTGTCAAATCTTGTGCACACTTGAATCCTTGATAAACCGCGATTGCGGCTATATCTGGCATATAGATATTTATATGTGCCCATATCTAATCAGGAGTCGGGCGCACTGCCAGTTAAAATATTGACTCGCATTGTTTGCCTAACTAGTCACCTTTTATTTGCCTACTTGCTGCAAGTATTATTTCGAATTCGATTTTATCAGGCAATGCGATTCGTGGCTTGCACCCAGATTGACTTTCCACTCACAAATGGAAATTGTCGCTATTTGTTTAGCAGTACCTTATCGGGAAAGTTCTGCTGGAAAAGCATTTAAATGCATTTTCCATTACACACTAATATGCATAATTTATGTGCGACCTGTTAGCTCGCCCGCCCAAACACTTCCGCAAATTAAACGCGCTCTACTTCCGCCATCAACGCGAGTGTCCAATAAGTCGAATAGTCCTTGGCCAACCCTTAGCTTAGGCCCTGTTCTTGTTGCAGTTTCGCTTTTGGGTTTGTTTTTTTTCCAGTTAGTTCCCACCATAAAAGTCGGCGCCCCTCTGCGGAATTTCCCGGATATTGTTATGGGCCCGGACATTGGTATATGTATATGTATATCTTAATGGGAATGTGAACGCCTTTTCCTTCCGCAGCTCAACGCCTACGCCGACTTGTATACCTGTTGTATACCTTTTCCTGTTTATGCTCTTGATGTTTTTGTTGTTGTGTTTAACAAATTTGAAAAAGTGCAAAATGATTGCGGTTTCGTGTTTGCAGTTGTTGTTGTTGTTGTTGTTTGGCCTACCCCTTAGCACCCCGCTCTAGCCAAACTGCTTCCCTCAGTTAATTCCCATTGGCAGCTTAATGTGTGGACAACACGCTAACTGGAAATTGCTGTGCGAAAAACAGTTTCAGTGGCACTGTACAGTTTGTGAGGCACTTGCTGTTGCCTGTTAATTGGTCCCATTCAACTGAAAACGAAGGCAGTTGCAAATTAAGACTCTAAAACCGTAAATGAAAGTTTGACAAACAAAAAACTGATTTTTGCTTAAATTGATTGAAAAGATAAAGTATTAATCGTTAATGATTGAAAGTATATTTAAATCCCACAAAAATCAGACAAATTATACAAAAAAAAAAATTAGATAAAAAGATAATTTTTAGATAAATATTAATTTAAAAAACCACACAATTCGTGACAGCAATTTTGTTATGCCCATTTGTCGTTGGTGCCAGAAGGATGCCAAACTGTAATTGGAATGCCAACATGGCATTTGTTGATGTACAGTTTGAGAGTCGCTCGCCCCTGCTGGAAGACGTGTTGTTCTTAAAATTGAAATGAATTTTTATTGCAAAGTATTATGATTATGTGTGTATTTTGTTCAGTTTTAAAAAATATACCAACTAAATATATACTCTACTATCACTTATAGTTCTAAAGAGCAGTTAACAATTTCACGTTCGTTTTTTCCACTTGATGTTTTTGTTGCTTCTCATGCGATATCATTTTCCTTTGTTTATGTTTTTTGTATTGTGTTTCATATATATATATATTTTTTTTAGTTTTTCTTTTGTACTTTCCAACAACTTGGTGACATTTTGAGGCATGCATTTGGGGTTTCTTGGCGTACATGGACGATATATGAATATATATATACACATATATATACACATATACATATACATAGATATATATGTATATATGTATACATAGTAATACTATGCTACTTGGTCAGGTTCTTGCGCTGCTCGGCGACATCTTTCTCGTTCAGTTGTATGACACGACGACCAAAGCGCGCCGTCAGCTTGGAGAAGAAGCCGACGCGGGAGGCGGGCTTGGTGTCGTCCGCCGAAAGCGGCGGCGCCTGATGGTAGCTATCCTCATCGCAGTTGCCAGAGTTGCCGCGCCCATGCTTGCCACTGCGCCCCTGACCAAAGTGAAACGTGGCGCGCGCCACATTGCTGCGCGTGAAGGGCTTGTCGCCGCACTTGTCTGGTGGGGGCGTGGGCGTAGGCGTGGGCGTGGGCGTGGCACGGCCAGCGGCACAAGCACCAGTTGCCTGGGCATTGACGTGCAGCCGTTCCAGCAGACGCCCATCCATGGGCGATCTAGGCGCCTGCAAAGGACTCGCTGCCGAAGTCGCTGCTGCTGTCGCGGGCTCAGCCTTCTCGTAGAGCGTTGTGGGCCGCCGCCCGGAGCCCTGATAGTGGAAGCGTTGCGGACTGTTGGCCAACTTCTGGGCCTGGGCAAGTTGCCGCTGGGCACTGAGCAGCGTGGGCTTGACATCAACGCCGCCAGCACCACTGGAGCTGATGGCGCGCTTGCTCTGCGGCGTCTGCGGGGACCGATTGCGACTGGGCGTGGTGGTTGAGCTGTTGCCGGTGCTGGAGGAGGCTGTCTTGCGAGCGGGCGTGCGGCGTGTAGGCTTGGCAGGCGGTGGTGCTGCTGTTGCTGCTGCTGCTGCTGTGGCGGTGGTGGTGGTGGGCGGACTTATGATGGAGTTCGGTGCAGGGCTAGCAGCAGCCAGCGCATTGGCCACTCGCGGCGGCAGGGGACGATTTGTGGCTGATAGACTTTTCTCGAGCGGCAGCGTCACCTGCACACAGCTGGCCAAGGGCAGGACACTGGAAGAGGAACTGTCCGAAGTGGTTGATTCCGAAGTGGTCTGGCGGGAGCCGCGTGGTTTGGAAACGCCCAGCAGCATGTAGGTGCAGTAAATGTCATCAAAGGCCTGACCCCTCAGGGATGCCTCAACATCACGACGTTTGTAGCCCATGTGGACCAGCTGATCCAGTCGCACTGCATCCTGCAGCTCCATGGGCTTCTCGCGATACGGTCGCAGCCGATCCGCTTCCTCGTGCCCGAGGTTGATCCACTTATCGCCCATAACACCATTCAGTGTGGTGCGCTTGGCGGGATTGAGCACGAGGAATTTGCGCATCAGATTCTCACAGTCCATTGAGATGTAGTAGGGCACACGATATTTGCCGCGCAGCACACGCTCCCGCAGCTCCTTCAGTGTGCCGCCATCGAAGGGCAGCGATCCGCTGACCAGCGTATAGAGGACCACACCCAGCGACCAGGCATCCACCTCGGGCCCGGCATACTTCCGCCCCATAAACAGCTCCGGTGCAGCATATGGCGGGCTGCCACAAAACGTTTCCAGCTGGGCATTCGGATCGAACGTGTTGCCAAATCCAAAGTCCGCGATCTTGATATTCATGTGCTGATCGAGCAGCAGATTCTCGGCCTTCAGATCGCGATGCACCACAAACTTGCTGTGGCAATACTGAATGGCCGACACCAGCTGCCGGAAGATGATACGAGCGTCTCGCTCCCGCATGCGTCCGTTCTTGACCAGATGATCGAATAGCTCGCCGCGACTGGCGTATTCCATGATCAGATAGAGCGTGCGCTCCGACTCGATCACCTGGAATAGCCGGACAATGTTCGGATGATTTAACAGCTTCATGATGCGCACCTCACGGTACAGCTTCTGTCTGGCGCTGGTGTTCAGCTGCGTCTTGTCTATCACCTTGATGGCCACCTCACGGCCAGTGGGCACATGAAGGGCCAGCTTCACCTTAGCAAAATTGCCCTTGCCCAGTGTCTTGATGATCTTGTAAACACCGTTGCCGTTGCCATTCACATACGACTGAAACTTGAGCTCCGTACCATTGCCCATGCCATCGGTCGCATCCTGGCCGGCTGCTTGGCTGCCCAGACGAACCGTGGCTACGGCGCTGATTGTGGGCGTGGCCTGTTCCGCCTTGGGGGCTTGACTCGAGCAGCACTTCGCTGGCGTTGCACTTGCTGTCGCTGTTACTGATGCAGCCGCTGTTGCAGTGGCAGTGGCAGCTGTCGGGGATTGTCTATTACAGTTCTCTTTCTCTGATGTTTTAAAAGTTTTTGGCGCTTTCTCGTCTGCTGCTGCCGCTGCTGCTTTTATTTTTGCCGCACTCTCATCTGCCAAGCTGAATTCTACAATTTCTAAATGTTTATCCGCCGACATTCTAAACTAACAAATTTTGTAGAGCTTCAAACACGAAACTGAAAGCTAAAGAGATCGGCTCCTAAAATAGCCAAATGGCGTTTGCTTTTTGGTGGGATATGGCTTCTGGCTGCCAGTTCGGCGCATGCCACACACGCGTTCTTTGCGGCAAATGGCAAATGTAAATAATTCCTCGACTCCCTCAGCGACCCTCAAGGCGCAAATTGTGGACTCGTCAACTCGACTGGGTTTTCACTCCGAACATCTGCTCTTTTTTCGTGCACCCTCCTCCTGGCCCGGTTAGCTTTAAGATAAGAACCTCAACCCTCAGCATTCAGCTGGCGGTGCTGGCAACGCATGGCTGATAAGCAGGGCTCGTCCTCGACAGGATCGCTTTGTCTCGCCCCTCAGTTGCGCACCGCAATGCAACTTCTTTATGAATTCAACAACCCCCAGTACTTGCTATCGAAGTCAGAGGCGATGGCCTAATGCCTCATGTGGCACGAGCCTTTTATGGCCCTCGTCTTTGCTGTCCCTTCCCTCCTGATGACGTTGCTGATTCTGATCGTGTGCCGTTCTCGTTGGTGTCACATGAATTTCCACTTGGTTTATCGCTGAGCGTTGACAACTTGAATGTGTCAGCAGCTGCCTGCAAGGAAAACAGCAAAGGATTTAATTACAGGTGATAAATGTGAGTAGAGCAAAGGGGGGTCTAGAGCAGGGACAGCCTGCAAATCGTATCCAACTTGGTTTAAATATTAATGGTCGCGATTCCATTAAATTTGCAAATTTTAGTCTTTTCCATTATCAAATCGAGTCAAATATTACCAATCTAATTCGGATAGTAGTTCCTCCTATTCGACGTGAAGATCAATTTAATTTAAAAACATGCACTACGTTTCCCTGAAATTGATTAGAATCGATTTTAAGGTGAACTTTTTTTTCATATCTCAGAGATCATGTGAGGTATAGTACACATGGATCCATTGTGTATCACTTAACGCCCTTCCCACTAAAACAACAAACCATTTTTGTACTCATATACTCTTGAATTAGCTGTTTCCCTGAAAATTGCATACAGATTCGACTATAAACGCGGAGGTTTTTAAAGGTTTCTTCAGGGTAAAGGCATCTATTACTGGGTATCTTCCAGTCGGCTACTCTTAATTGGTTTAATCAACAATATTCTCATAAATGTGACCATCACAATATCCAACGATCATTGTTTGCTTTTGCATTCATTTTAGTTCCATTTCGAACCACTGTACAACCGCCATATGATCCCTCTATAAGTAATTTGCTCTCAGTACTGTCTCACTCTCTTATTTTTTCTTTCCTCCTCTCTCTCGCAGTCCATTAATTACCTTTCGTTGCGCACTGTGTTCTTTCGTTTGTTTCTTAATTCCCTCTTGCTTTGCACTTACATTTCGCTTGCACATCCTGCGATCCGCAGGACGAGCTACCTAGCCGAACTACCCTAACAGCTACCTATTTACCTCGAAAACACAATAAAGAGAAATTAACTCATGCAACAACTACAACAAAGGAAATGAAACTGGTCCTTAATCTGGCTTTTCTTTGCGCCTCGGCATTCGCTCGTTCGCCCCGTGCGACGTGTAACAATTTCTGGTTCTCGCTTTGAGCGCTAGCACACATGTGTCCTTGATCCTGCTTACTTGTTTTCGTTGTTTCGGCGCTGTTGTTGTTGTTGCTTGCAACATTTTCTCAAATTTTGCCATCGTCATTCTCATACCCTTATCCTCCATCCAACCCTGACTGCCTGTCGCTGCCTGCCTGCCCCTCAGCTTGCCCGTCTCGTCGACTTGTCCGCTTTGGGTCGCATGCAGCGGCATTGTCGTCTCCTTTTTTTTCGCTTCCTCCTCTTACTATGCCCTTTCTTTGTGAGCGTGTGTGTGTGTGTGTCTGTGTGTGTGCGTCTCGTTCATTCGTAATTCAATTGCAGCTGCTTCTTTTATGATTTTATTTGTATTATTTTTGGCCTACACATTTTCTCTGCTTTGTGCCGCAGCTCGAAAAGATGCGATTCGCAATGTCAGCAAAAAAAAAACAAGAAAAAAAAACAACAACCAAATTTGTAACAACAACAGCAGACACTTGCATCCACATGGTAATTCCTAGAATTGGCAACAGCTACGATTATTTGGTAAATCGAATTTCTGCCACAGCTCTGCAGTTGCAGCTGCCCAGTTCAATGCACCCCAAAGACCCCCGCGTTCCGCTCCCCTACACTGTTACCAACACCAGGGCCCACATGCATATGTATG